CAGCTAATGAAAGGAAATATTCATTAAATGCACTTGCGATAGCTTGTGGATTGTTAGTGGACTTCCCTTCAATATTCAAACTTTGTACGTCTTCATTAACAGATTTCTTTCCTGATTCAACTTTCACAATATCCCAGGTGGTTTTAATTTTATTGTTTGATTTTAGAATTTGGCTGTTATAGTTATTCTGTTTGGCTTCTTTAATGACTTTTGACAAAATTTTACAGTACATTTTGTAGTGACTTTTTAGTCTTGGATCATTACTGTCCCTACTGGCCAAATACAGTTATCTTTTGTGTTTACATGAAGTTTTTGTTCCAATTGTTATCCAGGTGGATTTGTTCTTATTTTCATTTTTGACTATTTTTAAGGGAAAGCTTGAATAAAAGATCCTCAAGTATGTGTTCAGAAAGCAATTAAATTTAGAATCTTTATCTTTAGAGTTTTATCTAACACTAGCTTACAGCAACTGGCAGCTAGAATTACTTCAGCTGCTTATCTTCCTCCCCATAAAAGGTAAAGTTATCCATGTAACAGGCCACAGACGTCCGTAAGGTTGTGAGAGGTTGAGGCTCCCACATTTTCTAGATAATCGGCTCACAGATGTCAGTAAGGTTGTCAGCCTTACATGCCAGAGGCACTTAACCCCCAGAAATATTCCTGGTACTCATTTCTGTTAGAGGCTGATGCGACCCCAGGCCCATAGTGGGGCCGGAGGGATTAGATCAATTGAAAAATTCAGTAACCTCATTGGGAATTGAACCCACAACCTCCTAGCTTGTAGCATAGTACCTCAAGTAACTACATTATCATCTGCCCCACAACCTATATCATTGGGAACAATAATTAAATAAACTAGGGAACAGATTTTTCAACCTTCTGTCAGAATATTTCTGTTTTCCCCACGTTTTGCATTATTGGTACTTACATATTTTACATGTCTTATGACTGAAGGTCCTTGTATTATATTTTGTAACATGAACTTCAAAGTAGCTTTTTAAACTGAATGCAATTATGGCAGAGTTTTAATCCAGAGCTGGCAGTGCAGATTAGTGCCATGACTGGGCAGCAGATTAATTTTACGTGAAAACTATATTATTTAAAACAAATTAAAAAGAGTGCATAGTGTAATGATTATGACAACTTCGCTGTTCTTGTTTCATTATCGCGAAGGCAGTCAGCTTATGGGAAAAGTATATAGGGAATGGAAATCTCTTAATTTTTTCTCAACATGTCTCACTCTAATAAACACGTAGTGAGTTATATCCATGTATTTTGCAGTAGTATTGTCTGATTTTAACCAAAATTCAAATGTGTTAAAAAATTTAGTAACATTCCTCAATAAAAAGTTGCATACACATAATAATCTATTTAGTGGTTCTCGTGTTTGACGTACGGACAAGTGGATGGAAAGACTGACAGATGGGCAGACCCACTGACGGATGTAACGAGGCAAATAAACGTATTTTTACTACTCTTCGCTATGTACACGCCAACAATGTAATCTGGCTTTACAAGCAGTCATGGGCGCCGATGTGGGAAGTCAGCGATTTGCTCACTTCCCTCCCCCCCATATTTTTAGAAAAAATCAGAATCCATGAAAGGAAATACTTCAAATACTAATAACAAACATTACAATTATTTTTAAATGTGGCACAATATGTACTTCAATATAGGTGTCCAGAACTCTATAATAATAATATGTGAACGACTTGAACATAAGTTCGTTTCAAATTTTCTAGCTCCTCTCCAATGGGAAAAAATTCCTGACGGCCTTTCTGCAACTTAGGAAACAGCAAGCTAAAATGTGTAGTTTGGTGCTGCCAAGGTCTTCGTGATGTGTAAAACCAACAAATGATTTTTGCATATGTTTAGTTAGCTCTACACTATTGACATATGATTCAAGGAGAACCTTTACTTAAGTTAACTAACATGTTCGTAGCATTAGAACATCATTTCAATTTAGATGGCAAAAAAAGAATTATTCCGAAGGCTAGGAAGCGTATTTCGCAAAGCTGTAAATAATTGTGACAGGCAAAAGTGCCCATTATTAAGTATTTGATTACTTCTCAACAATACTTTGAGAGTTCGAAGCGATAACTGGCGAAAGTATGCATTTTAACTTCGTATTGATGTTTGTTCTCCCGTAAAAATACAACGACTCAAGAACTGCTCCACGGATTTGCATGGAATTTGATATTGTGGAATTTTAAGCGTTCCTTACAAAATAAAAGAAAGCCTCGTGTGGTAGTCACGTCTTTCAGTCTCTCTGTGCCCTAGTAGCAGCGCCTAAACCTCTGAGTAGATTTTTTGTTTAATTCGACTTGTTAAGACTCTCAGTAAATGTTACTTGCCAATTCCGATTTCAACCATGCTAATAACTAATGGCAAAACAAGACAATAAATGTATATTTGGCATGTACGTCTGCATGCATATATCGTACATACTTAAATACTCGTACATACACACACACACATGTATGTATTAATATATATTTACACACAATTCCCCTGTATGGAATTACAATGCACGGGCCAGATGAAATTTCAATATGGTAGAGTTTCTTCCCATAAAACACTGAATTTTGTAGTTTTCCTCTTCCGTGAGAATTGTCTCGTTTACTTAACTAACACTATTGAGCACGGGCCTTCCTCAGAAGCTAATTGTGACTCAGTTAACCAAGAAATTGCTCGAACTTCATGGAACCAGATTATTCATTATCATTTTCACAGGAGTATGTAACTTAATCTTATCCCGAACCAGAACAACCCAAGCTACGTCCTCATATCACGTTTTGTTCAAATTAGATATTCACCCTTCCAGATTTCCTAAGTGGTCTCCCTTCTTCTTGATTTTCGTCAGAAATTTTGTATTCAGTAATCCGTCCCATTCCATACCGCATGATTTAGCTTTGTTTACTCACTTGGCCTTTTCTGATTTTCTTGGCTAATGTTGAGGCGCTCTGCAACAAAATGGGATCTTTAATTGGTGGCAGTGTCTTTACGCTTTGCAGTGACCACATGAAGTAGAAAGGTAGGGTCAGCCATTGTATAATCTTCTGGAGGAACCCGACGATCCGGACACCGATTTCCATTTTTGCAATGTCGGAGGTTGCTAGAACAGCAAGAGCACTAGTTAGAACTAAATGCACTCACCACACAAAAAATATACACCTCTGTGCGATAGTCGCATACTTTAAAAGAAGATATTGCAACAGAGCTTCTCCTGTGTCTCAGATATAGACGCATTTGTGAACGTCACTTTATAGTAGTTCGGTGGCCGCGCCATAGCTCAAGCGGTTAATCGCTGGCTTCCCACCGCTGCACGCTGGGGCAGGTTTTCTCCGGGTACTTCGGTTTCCCCTCCCAATCTATATTCCACTAATTGCTCCACAATCACCCTCGCCTATCATCTGGAGCTGGTACAATAGGCCAGAAGTGGCCGCAGTACAAGGGACTTAGTCCTGCCCCACTAGCAATAAAAGAAATTATAATAGTTCTACTTTGGTGAGAAATAACTGATGTTACGAAGCTGATATTATGCACACACATACTCACTCATGGGACACCGTTAAATATAATTCACTGACTACTCTTCCTTGTTCCTTTCACTCAATGGTGGTAGGACCAAGAGGGCAGGAATTATGCATGGACTCCAGTAAACACAGGAAGTTTCCAGGAAACGTAAGTCAGGATATGAGTGACTGTTAGATTGCTGGTTGTAAGTTGGAAGAGGTGAGGTGTACAAAGGCAAATGTTTTGCACAGATCTGCCTCAAAGTAGAACATTTGAAAGGTCCTGAATAATAACTTGCAGCAGAAAACTCACTAATACCTGGCCAACATTTTACGCTGACAACAGCATAAGAAAAAAGAGAAGCACGTCTTGAAAAAGAGATACCGACCTCAGTGGACATGAAACCTGAGGCGGCTCAACGAGAGGTCTCTAAGGAAGACGCCGCAGTGATACCGGTCGGAGGACCGAGGAAGCGGCATAAGGACTGAAATCCGGTTGCAGGGCTCCTAGGTAAGCCGAAAGAACGGACCCAAGGCTAGGATGGTTGCCGGAAGAAATTGGCCGTCGCCCGCAGAGAGTCGACCCGCCGTGAGAAAGTGGCACAGCGCAAAGAAATCACCGTCGAGAGAAATCGGACCAGGGATAACATGGTACGAGGACCCTTGAAAGACGGATGTTCGGGCGAAGCGTGAACTGAAACAGGAACGCATAAATGGGAAGAGGAACAGAGGGCTGAAGCAGCAGCTACGAAGCAAGAAGGAATTCAACAAGACCCTCAGGAAGACCCCAGGGCTGGAGATCGGGAAACGAGCAGTAGAGATTTCCAGAGGGTTACAGACAATCAAGGAGTGGACACTGTGGAGGGGTCGACCCCCTCCGAAACGGAAAAGAAAGAAAGAAAAAAAAAAGGAGAACGCAGCGGGAGACGGTAATGTAGAAACACCGGCCCCTACAGCTAAAAAAAAGACAGTGTCGTATGCTTGCTTTCACGTAAATGTTGTGTACTTAACTAGAGAGCGAAGTTGTGTAACAACCGGTTTTGCATATGCATGAAAAAAGATAATTTTACACCAGAAGTGAACATGTTCTTGAACTCACTAACATACTGATATACACGCGATCTGGTGCTAGATTTAATTCTTCCCATTTTTTAAACTAATCTTTAACCGCTTAGCCACAATTCAACGAGGAACCTACAGTACTGTGAACAGACTTTCGTGAAGATCTGCAGCGGCTAATACTCCTCTCTCAGTAGCCGTGGTTATATCTCCACTCACGATTTCCCGATTGACTAGACGAAACATAAATTTGTGATTCATTATCTGTCAAAAAGTATTACATATGCCCTTTTTTATACGTCATATGACAACGTGTCCCTTATCTTAATGATCTCAATAACATATTGCGCAAACTTGTGAAGTATTAATTTATCCGTTCTGGGTAAAACGAATATTTATATTTATTTATATAACGTATCCCAATATATTTACTGAAACAAAGTGTAGAAAATCTATATTTTACGGTGATATAAAACATAAAACTCTATACGCAATAATCATAGTAACTAGAACGTTAGATCTACTTTGGAGAGCTTAAAGAGCCGCAGAAAGTGCCTGTTTGCCCAAACATTCCTTTCATATAACTATGATATGTTAGTCAATCAAATATTCATTGAACGAAATTACGGTTAAGAGAGTCAAAGGATTTTACGAGAAATATACTGAAGTTTTATTATGTATATTTCGAAATTTTCTGATTTGTTCTCGAAATATTTGGTGGAAGGGATTTTAAAATAACATCTTTATGGACTGTTAAACGTTCATATTTCATCTCGTTTCTACGAAAAAACTGTGTTCAGAATTATTACGATATCATTCTCCCGGCTTATACAAGTGGGACACAGTACAAATTAAGCTGAAGTCAATAAGGGAGTGTTCAGATTGATTAAAGATGTTATTTTGGACATTTTCCACTGGCCAAATTTATTTAAATCATTAAGTTTACGAAATCTGTTTTGTATCCGTCTTCAGCTGAACAGGCTAGAAAGGAAGATATATTTAGCGTGTCCCTTATTGAAGCTACTCTCAACGCATGGGTCACACCATTGTCGAAAATCGTTAATCTTAGGAATATTGCGACAAAATAGTCGCATTACGCGTTTTATCCAGGATAGTTAAAATATCTGTATTAATCAGATAAGCTATCAAATGTCCCAATTACAATAAAATCTCCTTATCATATCAGAGGATTTCGCTCGAAATGTATTTCTGTTGTACATAATTATGGCTGCAGTAATAACTGGACAGTGTTTATCCATCACACTTGTGTACGAAGCACGATCAGTTATAGATTAAGAAACTGAAATTATCAGTTTACAACATCTGCAAGCCAAAAACAATGATTCAAAGAAGTTTCACAATACAACTCGATATTATAGAAATTTCGGAAGTTCATGGTCGTAAATTTATGTGCTTTTCTTCACTATTAGGGTGATACGGAGTGTACCGGTGTCTGGCATTCAGTGGTACTGGGTTCTCTCTTCTGCGTCCGCGCACTCTCTTAAAGAAAATGTGCTTCAGCCACCGACACATCTAATGAAAGTAAGAGTCGAAATGGGCTACACAAAGCGCAACACTCCTCAGCCATAATTTCCGTGGCAGCGATTCTTCTTAGTCCTTATGAACAATGACCAGGACACAAACCAGGGATTATCGTTTCTTTGTAGGATCTATAATCTATATGTTACACGTTCCATTTATTCCACAAGAATAATTACGAGCATAGAGTTCTATGTTGTAGAAATGTAAGGATTAAATCCACAAAACTGTAATATTAGTCCTTTCATTACGTGTGACACTCTTGGTCTGTCACATTAGGGGAAGAACAAAGACAAGGTTCAGAATTACTAGGTTTTTGGACTTTGTCAATCATCCGGTATTCTAGAAACTGGAAAACAATGTTTCAGAAAGTGGATCTGTTTTCGTCCTCAGGTGAGGGGAAAGACACCTTCTCAGTTGGGTTCAGCGATTTATGTTAGCTCTTTCTAAGAGACCCAACAGATTAGGTGCCTCCCCCACCTCACTGGAAGACGGAAACAGACCCAGTTTCTGAAACATCGTGTTTTCTAGTTTCTAGAATACCGGATGATGGACAAAGTTCAAAATCCCAGTAATTTTGAGTGTTATACACCATCACCAGAGCCCTTAAGAACCTAGAGACCCGGGTGATTGATGACGGGATGCTAAGGAAAGTGATTGGACCCAAATGACAGGAAGGAACAGGAGGCTGGAGAAAACCGTTCACTGAAGAGCTTCTTGATTTTTACCCTTCGAAAATTATTATTAGAGTGATCAAATCATGGTTTAAGTAATGGGTAGGCATGGAAGAGATAAGAATTGCGTACACATATGGTCGGAAATCACCCGCCCAAGGAGTCCTGCCGAATGTGTAAGATCTAGAAAAACTGAAGTGAACGGAGAAGTTCATGGAGGTAGGCCTAGGCCCACTGGGGCTGTAGTGCCAAGGAAAAAAATGGTCGGAAACCTGAAGGAAAAAATGATTCGGGAGACAGACGTAGAATTGAGGATGATATTCAAATGGATCTTAACAAACAAATAAGATCCGGCGTTGTGGATTGAATTAATTAGTCCCAGAATAAGGTACAGCTCCAGGCTTTTGTAACAACAATCATGAACTTTCAGATTCTACAAAATGCAGAGAAGTTTTTAAATAATTAGGTTGTCCTTGAATTCTAAATAAAACGGTTCTGTTCTATGGGGTTAATGAAGTTTTATAATGAAGTAGCCTCAGTTACACTACACGGCTTGCTTTTGAATTTCATACAGGACGAGCACACGTTCATCAGGCTCATAGAAACTTTGCTTATTCTGCGTGTTTAAACATTTTAAATTGAATGCAGATATATCAGCGGGGGGTTGAAGGATTAGATGCAAGGTCCACCTACAATATGAATTTGTTTAAGTAGATTCTACTTCCACAGGATCCAGCATGATAGCCTCAAACTTCACAACCCTAAATCTTTAGGGAAGAAAGTAAATATTTTTAAGACAGTTTATTTCACAGTTCTCGCCGTGACAGCGACGGAGACTGAAATATACTGTCATAAAAATACTTCTGGACACTTTCCATTATGTTTTTACTTAAAAACAACGTTTCGGAAACTGAATTCTCTCTCCGTTTTCAAGTAAAACCTCAGTTGGGCCAATCGATAGAGCTAGTCTTATCTCCGGGTCTAAGATATAAAAGCCAAACACAACACAAACAAAACATTAAAATATTAAAATCTCATACACACGTATGAGGTCTTGCTCCTGAAAATTATCAGAAAAGAAGTCATCACTGGAGAAACAGTTTCTCCTTATTGTACCAGCACAAAAATACAAATACAGGGAATCCGCCCACATGTTTGTGATAGATCATCAGATCAGTCAACCCAGCTTGGACACCTTTCCCTTCTGGACTTCCTTTATCAGAGCAGAAATAAAGAAACTACACCTCCGTCCAGTGCAAACTGAGTTGGAAAAATAGTGTTCTTATGTTGGTTCTGTATGGAAGATTTGTCTCTCCAGTGATGACTTG